ATGGATAAAATGTAAAATGGGTGAGTTTTTCCAGCTTTTCTAACCGCAGTAATTATAATTCATATCTATATATGGGTATAATAACATTTTTATATTAATTAATTAATATTAATGTTAAACAATCTTAAAACTTTGTAATCCAATCAAGATTCATTTTTGCGTAACCAGATTATTTATATAAAGCATTTTCTTTGAGGTTTACTTTTTTCCTTGCTGAATTTTGAAATCCTTTCTTCAATTGTTCTTGTAAAATTCAACCACCCTTATTGTCGGTATTTTAAAATCACTCCTGGAGAGTGATAAAAATTTCCAAGTAGCATACAGTATACAAATAAACTATCATTCATCAATTTCTCCCATTTATATAAAAAAAAATGACCAAAATTTCAAAATCTGAAAAACATTCCAAAGATCGTTTCGATAATCCACAAATTTACACACCATATCGAAGTAGATTATCACCATTATTCAGATGGCGTGGATCGGTTATTCCAAAAGTTTTACCCCAAACCATTTTCATTACCATTATATCAATTGCTGTTACTGCTCTCTACCAATATACGGATATTAAACTCTCAATTCAACCAACATTCATTTCCATTATTGGATTCATTGTTTCTTTGCTACTTGGTTATCGAACAAATACCGCTTATGATAGGTAATTATTATTATCATTATTCTTGAAAATTTTCATAATTATAATTGGCACTAAAAATATGTAATTTCAATATTATTAAAGATATTGGGAAGGACGTCGGTTATGGTCAACTATGGTAGTATCAATTAGAAATTTTGCACGATGCATTTGGGTAAATGTCAATGAAACTGAACCAAAACACTTGCTTGAGAAAAAAACTGCCATAAATCTTTTATTAGGTTTCGCTATAGCAGTCAAACATTATCTTCGTGAAGAAGATGGAGTTGATCATTCTGATTTGAAACCTTATATTGCAAACATAAAATCAACACTTCCTGCATTTCATCCTCTTGATAAAAATGCCTATAAAAAACCAAATGGTTTTCAAAATTTATTTTCACGTTCCTTTAGCACAAGTGAATTAGGTGGTGATTGTAAAAATATAGTTAATCATAATTTACCACTTGAAATCTCATTTTATTTATCTTCGTACATTAAGCAACAAAAGATTAATAATTCTACTGATGATGCAACAATAGGTGTCATGTATAGCAATTTGTGTACTCTTACAGATTGTTTAACAAGTTTAGAAAGAGTTCTTAGATCTCCTATTCCTCTTGCTTATTCAATTCATTTAGCTCAAACTACTTGGTTATATTGTTTAAGTCTTCCATTTCAATTGGTTCAAGATAATGGATGGATTACTGTACTTATAACATTTTTTGGTGCTCTAGTCTTATTGGGTGTTGAAGCGATAGCAAGTGAAATTGAAAATCCTTTTGGTAAAGATGATAATGATTTAGATCTTGATGATTTTTGCGGAATCCTTAAATTAGAACTTTTAAATATCATGGCTCATAAAGCTCCATCTCTGGATGATTGGGTTTATTCATCAGAAAATCATCCATTTGAAACTGATAACATTACAGCCATTGAAGCAAAAAATTTAAATATAGACGAAGTTAGAAATAAGTTGGAAGAGGATAATAGGAAACTAAGTTCTGAAACCCGAAGGATCTCTGATTCTGATAGTTCTGATACCATAAATCAAAATGAAATTTCTATTCATGTTAGTTCATAAATTATATGTTTTGGGGGATTCTTGTTTTTAAATAAAATTTTTATTCGTTTATCGGTTCTGTGAGGGACTAGTTTTTTGTATATAATCACGAGAACATCTTTCCATTTGTCATTTAACTTTGTCATAGTTGTAACTCAGTTACTTCTACAGTATATTATTGTCGTAAATGAATGAAAATATTTTTGCTCTTTAGTTGACGAATGAATCTCGGTAACTACCAGACCAAATTCGATAAAGATTTTTAACGCCAAGAAAAAAAATTAACAACTGTTACACGTAATAACATTTGTATATTTAGACTAAACTCAATTAGACTATAATTTTATGAATTAATTTCCTATAAAAGAAATGTTCTTATTACTTACGATTAGGGTTGCAGCTGCAGGTTACACACCGGATGAGCATGTGACAGTTCGGACGACTGCTCCGGAATTTATAATTTTTAAAATCATTAATATCTAACTTGTTAATACATTTAAGTTATTTACAGCTGTTCTCAAATTCTGGGACATAGGGTTGGCATTGAATAAATTTTTTTTACTCTTTAATTTGCAATGATAATTTATTAATTGATTTTTCTATTTCAAAGCGTCTTCTTGGCTAATTTATTTATTTTGTGTTTTCTTTTATAATATGCCTTTATTTTAAAAACTAAAAATAAAATCAACATATTTCATTGTTATTTTTAAAATACAAATCATTTTACAGTTTCTAGCATTCTGTTCGATTATCATATTTCACTAGAGCAATACCAAATATATATTTTTCAAGCCATCTAGTGTGAGTATGTGCGTAAACGTATTGTAAGTAAAATGGAATTTAAGATGATCCGTTAGTGTGAATGCGTATGCATGTTTTATAAAAAAAAAAAAAAAAAACAAGAATAATTCTAATTACAGAATTATCAGTATACTTTTTAAATATACAGTTTACCCTCGTTTATATCAACCTATCTTCCGAATTGGTTTAAATTCCTGTTGATAGTGATATTAACAAGTGATTATATTAAAAGTTGATATATATGAGGGAGTTTTAATATATAAAAATTTGTAAAAATTCATCTTATGGATTAGGTTAATATTAATGGGGTTGATATTAGCGAGGGTAGACTGTACTATAAATTAGAGATATGTTGCATTAGTGAATATTGGCCCGAATTAAGTTTAATTTAGGCCAAAGATAAAATTTTTTTTATGTCAATAAAAAAATTTATCCGGCTAACTCATGTGATGTTATTTTTTTCAGGTGTTACGATGTGATTATGTTTATTCCAGTATTCAAAATTAAAACTCAGCGAGCGACTCCTACCAATCATGATCATAAATTGCCGGATAACACCAATATTGAGCAAATTGTCGAATACGGTAATTTGACAAATGATGGCTACACGGGCGCAAAGTAGTCGTGTTCATTTGCCAAATTACCGTTATTAGACAATTTTTGCCCAATATTGTATATTTATTATGTCCAATTATCTAAATTGTCTAAACGTTGAAAAAGTGGGACTTAATCGTTTGCAGCTAAAGTTAGATAATTCTTGACACTCCAACAACTAATCTATAATCCAAAGGCCCTAAGACTTTGAATTGGCAGGCAGAAAGAGGAGTGGAGAGACTTGGTCCGAGTCTTGAAGCTTTTCGGGTCTTGTTGTAGTGACAATAGAGTTTAAGATGGGTATAATTCTGATCTGGGCTTATAGCAGCAGGTTACAAGCTTCAATTGGAGATTAAGAAGATTCTTCTCTCAAGTTTCAGTTCTATGGGGTTCTAGTATTTTAATCAATCGTTAAGATTCTTAATGATAGTCACATAGTCACATGGTTGTGGAATTGTTTGAGATCCAATTTAAGGTAATAATAATATTTGATCAAGGTTTGATCAATTGTATTTTATTATAAAAGGGGTTTTGAATTGGTAATCAATACTTTCTCTTTCTTTTTCTTACTATGATTCAAGAGTACAAATATGTTGGATTATGGGAACAAGAAAGTTTTAATGGTTATTTATTTAAATTTTTAGAAAAGGGGTTTTCTACTTGAATTTCAAAGGTTAAACTTTACAACAAAGGCACAGTTTATTTTATAATATTGGGATAGCAACAAGTTTAATTAGATGATTTATTAGGAACAATGAAATGAGATATTTTTTATTAACATTTTTAACTTTCTTATACCTACACTTTTCTATAACAATAGTGTCTCTAATAACCTTACACAAATTGCTCTAGCCAACAATCTCTATCAGCACTTTACTTTTTATACAAATAGCTTTGCTAAAAACTTCAGCACTAACCAATGAATTATAAGTATCAGCTAGGCTCAAATCTATACTAACTCTGTAATTCTAATTTTTTTACTC